TCCCCATCCCCACTGTAAACAGTGTGAGCGAGTTGCTGCCTCCCTTTCCTGAGGCGCCAGACAGTTTGCCAGAACCTCTTTGGCGCCGATCAACAGTCTTTCTCCATGGCCTCACCAAACTCCTCCCACGCCCGAGATTTTGCCTTGGCAACTGCCACTGCTGCACCCCGCTTGGCTATCCGGTACCTGTCTGCTGCCTCCGGAGACCCACAGACCAGCCACGCCCTGTAGGCCTCCTTCTTCAGCCTGATGGCTCCCCGAACCTCTGGTGTCCACCAGCAGGTACGGGGGTTGCCACCACAACTGGCACCGGCCATCTTGCGACCACAGCTAGCAACAGCCACCTCAACAATTGCAGAGTGGAACAAGGCCCACTCTAAGCCGATGTCCCCCACTGCTCTCGGGATGCGGTCAAAGCTCTGGCGGAGGAGGGAGTTGAAGACCGTCTTGACAGGTTCTTCTGCCAAGCGTTCCCAGCAGACCCTCACTATGAATTTGGGTCTGCCAGGTCTACGCGGCATTTTCCCAGTGTCCACCCCCTCTCAAGGACTTGGGTTCCAGAGCCAATGCTATGTGTCGAGGTGAGTCCGACTATAACTAGCCGGTACCGCTCAACCTCTGCCACAAGCTCCTGCTCCTTCCCCGCCAGCAAGGTGACGTTCCATGTCCCAATAACCAGTTTCCTTGTCCGGGATCGGACCGCCAAGGCTCCCGCCTCGGTCTGCCACCCGATCCACACTGCACCGGACCCTTCATTTTCATCCTGCAGGTGGTGGGTCCACAGTTGGATGAGCCCATGTATCCGGTTCGGGCTGGGCCCGGCCGGGCCCCATGGGTGAATGCCCGGCCACCAGCTGCTCGCTCATGGGCCCCAACCCCAGGCCTGGCTCCAGGGTGGGACCCCGGTAACCCTCCGGGCTGGGTACTCCGACTCTTTGTATTTACGTCCATGAAAGATCTTCTGAACCGTTCTTTGTCTCACCCTTCACCTAAGACCCATTTGTCATGGGAGACCCTACCAGGGGCACAAAGTGCCCCAGACAACATAGCTCCTAGTATCATTAGGGCACTCAAACTCCTCCACCACGATAAGGTGGCGGTTCAAGGAGGAGAGTAATTCAATTTGAAAGCTGAAACTTGGACTCACTACATGCAAAGCCAGATATTTCATTTGTTACAACTGTGACTTTAATCAGCTAATGAATCCAAAACAACTGCAAATGGTTCCTGAGCCTTTAGGTGGTCTCTCAGTCTAAATTGGATTACTGGAATAAATTGACTTTTGCATCATTTTCTAAATTTTAGAATTTCACCTGTATGTACAGGAAGCATTATTTTACCTCACTGAAGAAACATAACTAAACAAATAAAAAATGAAGATGTTTGAATTTTAAAAAATCAACATTATCTTAAATTATTGTTGACATTATTATTGTTTACTATCCATCCATTGTTACGCTGACAGGCAGGAGGTTTGAACCCAAGATGCAGAACACCAGATCACTCAGACAGGAGCGGAGGTAAAGAAATACATCCTTCATTCTTTTAAGGTGGAGGCTTAATCCAGCGGTTAAAAAACACAAAAACTGAAGTTTCAAATTAGGAGCAAGGACTCAGGCAAAAACACGGGAGGACAAAGAACAGCTCAGACAAATACAATGGACTGACAAACACTGAAGGACAAGACAGCGGGTTTAAACACAGAGGGAGGTGATCAGGGGAGGTGGCAGGCGTGCGTAGTGAGAGCTGGAGGGAAGGCAGGTGCATACAATAATCTAGATGGTGAAAAGAAACAAGCAGGAGGGCAGATAAACCTATAAAACCAATAACACAAGGATAAAACTAAACCTAAATACTGAGGACCAAAAATAAACAACTAATAACTAGACGGATGAGGAGGACTAAAATAAGATTGAATAGGAATAGGGAATTATTAGAAGGACACCTGAGGGAAGTCTACAGAGGGCTGGGGATAATAATGGGACACAAGAGGAGAACCAGGAGTGGGAACTGGAGGGGGCTGGGGAACAAAGAGACACAGAACTTGACATCAATCCATCAATTCATTTTCTTCCCCTTATCCATAGTCGGGTCGCGTGGACATCAGCCATAGCCTGACTATGAGCCTGAGATGCCTCTCGATGTGGAGGAGCAGCGGGTCTACTCTGAGCCCCTCCCGGATGACTGAGCTTATCACCTTACCCCTAAAAGCAAGCCCAGACACCCTGCGGAGAAAACTAATTTCGGCCAAGCAGAATAGCTCGCATTTGGAATGTAAATTAACGATCAGGTTAATTTACTTGAAAATCTTGATCAAGATCAAAATCTGATTAATTCTGCAGCCATACTTCACCCACCAATCCATAACGTCCTGAATCGAGGTCAGCAGCACACCGTCCTCACTGTAAATAGTCTTGGTAGTGCACTGCTTTCTCCTGCTGAGGAGCTGGATGGTGGACCAGAATCTCCTCGAAGCTGGACGGAAGTCCTGCTCCATCCTCTCACACCCGGGCTTTTGCCTCCGTGACCACCCGAGCCACATTCTGCTTTGACTGCCGAAACTGGCAGACCCTCACAATACGTTTGGATCTGCCAGGTCTGACTGGCGTCCTCCCCCACCATTGAACCAACTCACCACCAGGTAGTGGTCAGTTGACAGCTCCGCTCCTCTCTTCACCCAAGTGCCCAAGACATGCGACCGCAGATCAGATGACACGACAACAAAGTCCGTCATCGAGCTGTGAAGTTATTCTGGTATACTTTCATGCCTAAACATGGTGGTATTGGTTATAACCACCATTGGCTCAAATGATTAAAGATGAAACTTCCTTAGTTTTTTTGTTACAGATGTTCAAGGAGTAAAAAAGAAAAAAATAAAGTCACCACCCACATTCAGTTTGGATGACACTGTTGTACAAATAATTCAACACCTTCATAAATGACCTTTCTTGTATGTCTTCTAGAGAGTAGGTTTACATTTTGGATCTGAGGATTTTGATTTTCTATCATTATTGCCTTTCAGAGCCGTGGCGTTTAATGAGCAGCAGCTTTCTGTCTTCGCTGCTAGAAACAGGAATACCGTGTCCATCCATCATTAAATCATTGCTTCCTCACAAGAACTCGTGAATGGAAGAGACCAACATCACTGTGGGTTATCTGTTTTATTTATACCAAGAGCAAAGTGGATTTATAAAAGAAGTCCATAATGGGCCTCCGTTTGATGATGGATTTCATGAAAGAGCAGGATGGACAATGTGTTCAGTCTCAGTATCTGCCACTATAACATAATGACTGAACGAATGAGTCTCATTTCTTTACTCTTAGTGTCCTCTTCCTAATGAATTACAGTCAGAGTGTTCAGGCTTTTCGATAATACACTGTCTGCTGGTGGTTGATGTTTTAAATGGTAACTTTTTCAACCACATTTTTGAATAATAAGATGATTCTCAACTTTATAGGGAAACACATTCAATGTAATAACTTCAGTTAGAACCGGAGGATGGGATTTTACCAGAATTATTCAAAAACCTTTAAATCGTATGACTAATAATGGCTTGGTCACAATATATTGGTAAAAAAAAAGATTAAAAGGGGCCACACAGTTCTGTTGTTGTGTTTTTTCCCCCTCCATCAGATGTTCACATCGTCTGGAGCGGTGAGGCTGGTGCTCAGAGGCGAGGGCCTAAAAAGGAGCAGCATGACTCAATGATTCATAAGGCTGAATAATTCAATGGCTGTATGCATGTAGAGCACTCCGCCCCTGCTGAACCCGCTCCTCCACACTCTTTGATGCAAACCTCTGCAAGGCCCGTCCACATCATCAACAAACAATGGACAAACACAACTACGACAGGGTTTTCTATAGAACTTTCGTTTCCTTGCAAAACAAAAGCCTCCGTCTCCTCCGAGCTCTTCATTTCTGTTACTCGCTTCTTTCCTGATATATTTCTTAAGTAATGACTCACTATTATCACAAGTTTGACTTCAAACAAAACAAAACCCAGAGCAAAGAGTGACAACTTGCCACTGGTGTTGGAGCAAGTCAGTTGTTTCTCAGGAGTAATCTCAAGTGAGGACGATGTCACATTTATTATCGTCCTTCAGAGCTTCTGACTTTTCTTTTTCATGCTTCACTTTTTATTCCATCCTTATCATAAAAATTACTTTTTATGACTAGGAATAAGGAATGATTAGAAGGACACCTGAGGGAAGTCTACAGAGGGCTGTAGATAATAATGGGACACAAGAGGAGAACCAGGAGTGGGAACTGGAGGGGGCTGGGGAACAAAGAGACACAGAACATGACATCAATCCATCAATTCATTTCATTCATTAATTTTATTAATAGATGCAAAGAACTCAACAATCCTTTTTAAACTATTGAGCATTTTATTATTTTTATTTTCTGATGTCAGTTTTTTTATAATCAATGTATAGTTTACATTGCTTAATTTATTTTTTCTTGTTTATGAAGTCTGAACTGAGAACGAATGAAAGTTTTGAATTTTTCTCTCAATGCTATCAAAAACAATTCATCTGTTACATTTAATTTCCAGGCACCAACTTTAATTAATTACATTAACTTTAAAAACGTAGAAAATAATATTTTTTTTACCATAAACATTTAAAACGCCGCTTCTGAACGGAATAACAATAACATTAACCAGTGTTTACCGTCCTCTGGTGTTGACCATGAGTAACTGCAACATTCCTATTTTCGAATTAAACTCCTTTATTATTTTTTTAAGATCAATAGTTAAACCTTTGTTTCCTTTACCTAAATCTTTCACGTGACGTTATATAATGTAAGTAGCTAAGCCTAATGGTAATACATATTTAAATTTTCTCTAGTCAATTTGGACTGCTTAACTTTGCAACATAAGTATTTTTAATATATTTTCGCAAAGGATTTTATGATGAAATTGGTGGAATTTTAAAAATGTATTATCCAGTTTTTTACATTTTCATAATAACTCTTTTCCTGTCGAGGACTACTAAACCCACAATGCATTTTATTTCCAACATGGCGTCGTAAACAACAAAGCTAAGCTTTGCTAGCTAAACCAAAACACGGCTGAATATAAAACGGGATTGTACGACGTTTAACGTTTATTTTGAAGGGTGCAGGAAGATGAAAGGGTTGCTAGCAGCATTAAAAAGAGCCCACAGCCCAGCTGTTTACATCTGTCGGAGCTGTCACGCCCAAAGCATCGAGTTATCTCTGAAAAATCATCCTGAGCTCATGGTGGGGTCAAGCCGGGAACTGCTGCAGAAACTCGGCTCTCAGGTGGAGGTGAGGACGGGCTTCATCACGGAGGAGGAGGAGGCTGCTCTGGTGCAGGAGCTGGAACCAGGACTGAAGAAGAAACGCTACGAATTCGACCACTGGGACGATGTAGGTTATGTTTCTAAAACCGGTATAGTGTTAGAAAGGGTGGCTCGTTTGTTCGTTCTTCAGCTTGTAGTTGATGAACGAAACAAACCTTAGTTCAGATTGAGCGAAAATGTTTTAAAGAGCATTTTTCTAATGTTATTGAAATAACATTTGATGTTCTTTTTTTCTCACACTGACTCCTAGCATAAGACCCTGCATCTTTGTCTTCCACTTTTCCTCTCATAGCTTTGAAAAGAGCATTTAAAGGTGCAGTATGTAAGAATATAGGGAGAATAACTTAACAGTGAGAAAATCCCTGAGGGGACTAATGTTTTAGTCATTTTGGAAGAAAGGTTATACTGAAACATGTTTCATATCCAGCTGGCTGTGGGGCTTGTCAGTTTTTCTTCTTTCACAACAAAGGAGGGACGTAACTACTGTTTACCTTCAGTGAGTGTGGGGCTGCCGGGTCTCCTGCGAGCTAACACTGAAGTGCCTACAATTGTAATTTGATGACAGCCGCCAAGCTCCAGAGATGTTTAAAACATGTATGATTAGGCATATTACTCAGTGAAATCGATGTGTAAGTATGTGCTTTCTTTCAGGCAATTCACGGTTACAGAGAGACGGAGCGTCTGAGTTGGGGGCCAGCCTGTGAGCAGATCCTGAACCGTGTTCGATCGGTGGCCTTTCCTGAGGGTAGTCCTCTTCTCGGCCCTGTTCACATTCTGGATTTGGACAAAAATGGCTACATCAAGCCACATGTTGACAGTGTGAAGGTGGGTCGTTGGAAACACATCTTGCATTACTGATTGCTTGTACTGTAACATATTTGTGGGATGCACTCTTATTGTTGTTTTAGTTTTGTGGGAGCACCATTGCTGGCTTGAGCCTTTTGTCAGACAGCATCATGCGTTTAGTGAAGGAGGATCACTCTCAGGAATGGCTGGACCTGTTGCTGTCTCGACGCTCCCTCTACATAATTAGGTACAGTAAATAAAAATAAATACAATACTGATCTTTTTGGGTAACTAATTTCTCTGCATTTGACCCATCCCTGAGGAGCAGCAGGCTGTTTGTACGGTGTCCAGGGGGCAACCTTCAGGGTTCACTTTCTTGCCCAAGTATACTTCAGCACGTGTTCTGCTGGGGTCTAGGATTGAGCGTCATGGCTGCCCTCAACACGCGTTTAATGTTCAGGAGTTAAATGAAGATTGGTTAATAGTTAAAGGTGCAATTTGCAAGTATTCTACTGTGAAATAATCACAAAACAGTCTAATGTCTGAATCATGTTGGAAGGAAGGTTATATGGATTTCTTTTTCAGCTGCCTGTCATTTTTTCTCCTTTAAACAAAATAACAAAACAAAAGCAGTACGTAATCATTGTTTACACTCCGAGTTTGTGAGGTTGCTGAATCTGCAACAAGCTAACGCAGCATCTTCGGCAGTTCCAATTCGACACCAGCAGGCCCAAAGCTGTTTTCTTTGTTAAAAGAACAGAAGCCAGTAAACCTGAGCGACCCAGAAGTAATTTCTTTTACCCCTAAGAAGCCGTGGCATCTTTCTGTGTTGCTTTAAAATCAGGTAAAGAAGGCTAAAGGCTGATGTTGAGCTAATGATGCTAATGGTGAATTAGAAGCAAATAGTCAGCTCTAAAAATATTTCAAGCTACTTTTTCAATAACCAGCAACTCAATATTACAGTGAAATGCGTGTGAAGTGAATACTGAGTCAATGATAGCGTTTTACTTCCTTTACAAGACAGCAAATTGCACTTCCTGTAATGCCGGAGACAAACTACCATAATAAGTCAGGGTGTCCGCGGGGTTTTAAAAAGTATTAAAAAGTGATAAATAAAAATAGTCAAATTTAAGGCCATTAAAAGCGTTAAATTTGGTCTCAGAGGTATTATTTTTTCCAAATTAGGTATTATTTTTTTCAGACTATCAGGTGTCGTATTATGAACATCAACATAGAAATATATTCCGAATGAAATGTTTTGAACGATTATAAAAACAAAACAAGCCGATTATTTGCTCCTCCCGCTTGCGCTGCCCTGAGTTGCAAATGAAGCGCCGTTGCCAACTTAGCGACTTTGACGCTATTTCCAACAGCTTTTCAGACCCCCTTCTTGACTTTTTAAATCTTAAAAGTACCTAGCGAACACCTCAGAAACATCTCTGGTAACCCTTAGCTACTTTCTGGATAACTGTAGTTGACATTTCCTGCAGGTTAGCTAAACACTCCGCCTGCGCTCCGGACCGTTCTTCAGGACATTAGGAAAGGGAATGATGTAGTGATGTGTCGGTCGCTACAGAAACAGCTCTCAGAACCGGCTCCCTGTTGGATTAACCAGAGTGAGTGACACACACCGCACCTGCGGGCTCCTGAGCCGCTAAAAACGGCTAAATGTGCGCGTGCTAAACACACGTGCAGCTTGCCCCGATTGCTGTGAGACCGGGTTGGGGGGTGGGGGGTGCAGCTGTGGTTGGGACAATTATTACATTAACTGATGGACTTGTAAATAAATAGTTTATAAATAAGGTAGAAATAAGTTCCTCACGCTGATAACTAATCTCTCTGAGGACACGGTGCTAGTGTACTCTCCTACAGCACCTTGACACGACTAAATAAATGTTATGCAACATTTTGTGAACATCAATTTATTTGCATGTATTTGTTATGAATGCCACTGTATAATTCTTGCTGTCAGTATTTGCAAGATATTGGTATTTGGGTCTGTACTGGTTAGACTTAAATGAGTTAAACCAAGGTCTATAGCCCTTGGGTCATAGACTATGAGCTATAAGTATATTGGTCTTTTTATACTGGGAATCAGGAGTTATTTTAGTGATCATCTTGTTTCTTGTTTATTTTTGCCCTGATTGTGCCCTGAGTAGGGCTGGGGGTAAACAAGTATTTTTAAAATGATTATTCTGACGATTATTTTATCGAATAGTCGACTATTCTAATGACTATTTAGATGATTAATCTAGCGAATATTTTTCTATTGCACAATTAATAAAAACCAAAAAATCTCAAATAAATTCTTCCAAAAAATGGATAAATTGTTACTGTAAGATAATAAACACTACAGGCCTTCCATTTTGTATAACACTGCTTTTATTGTGTTGTGGTTGGTTTTGTTCTGGTGACGTGTAGAACGTGGGAGTGCAGGCTGCTGCCTGAGAGGTGGTAGAAGACGGAGTGTCTCCATGCTGCTTTGATTTGGTCACTTATGAGCGTGAGGCGAGTGGTGTTACGATCCTTCCTGGGGAGTTTGGCTTGTGTGCAAAAAGGAAGGGACAATAACGGGATTTAAAAGTTAAAATGATGATCAGGTTTATTTACAACTACAAAAAAACATAAATATTTCCATCCACAGGTTGGGAATAATAAAACTAATTCTGTCTGTGGGGAATTAAAACAAAAGTACAAATAACCTGGGATGTCCCACTGGGCAACGATTACTGGGTTCTGGACCAAAATAAGGATCTCCAAAGGTCCAAACTCTAAACCAAACTCGAGGTGATATTTTAAACTAAACCGAAAACCCACAACACTCTAAATGTAATAAAAGGGAGATCTGCACCACAAAAAAGATGAACTCTAAACCAAAACGTAACAGCTTATCCCAACGCAAGAAGCTGTTAGCGAAGATGCTAACAGTAGCTTTACCAACGTTAAATTCAAGTTACCACGTTTAAATAAACCAAAAATACCCAGCAGCAAACAGACCAGCATGGAGGAGAGACTGCTACCACCAAAACAGCTCTCCTCATGTCTGAAAGAAGCTCCTTAATGAAGGGAGAAACGCTCCCGGTGATGTTCTACATCTGCGGTAGAGACGGAGCAGCACATCTGACCCCGGAAGTTGTTGTCCGTTGCCGGGAGACGAAGGCGGGCAAAACAGGAAAATAATCTAGTAGCGGACGGACGTTGTTCCGGGTCTTCGGTATTTGGCGGAGATGTTAGTGAAGGCGGAGAAGAGGGCGAACTAGAGGAAAAACAGGCAGATTCCTCCTCCATTTACAAACTCCTGGGGATGCAACAAGTGGGCGCGGTGCGCTGACTAACGGATCTGACGTCGACGAATTTTTAGAATCGAGCCGTCGACGTCATCGATGCGTCGCCACAGCTCTAGCCCTGAGCAATTTTATGACTGAATAAAAAAATAAAATATCTACATTAATTGAAAAATCATCTTAAATAATCGAGATCTCAATTTCAGTCACAATAATCGTGATTATTGTTTTTACCTTAATCGAGCAGCCCTACTTTAGCATATCCGTCACATAATGATGACGTCATATTCAGTGGTCGTTCTGCATCATTTCAGGCCTCGTAGTCAACTGTCTGAACCGCTGAACAGAAGTGCCTGGCTTATTTTCTAAGTAAAATAAATATGTGCAATACGTTGTTAACATCAGTGAGTCTCTAAGTCTATTCTTTTTGTATGTTATATATGTTAAAATATGTGTAAATAGGTCGCTGATTAACACTTGCAATTTAGTGTTGTGATGGTTTTAAAAATATTCTGAAGGTAGTAAAAAAAGGTATTAAAAAGTAGTAAATTTTACTTAGGGATTGCTGTATATACCCTGTAAGTGTAGTAAGTGCCCCCTACCGTAAAACACCCAATAAAGCTAGCACCAGATATGACCATGTTTCTATCTACTTATCAACTTACTGTGTGTGACTCATGTTTGCTTGTCATCTAGTCTTCTGGCACTGATCCGTAACTGGCAACAGTCGTGAAACTCCCAAAACGGGAGTGAGAAAGTCTTGTTGTTGCTCAAAAAGTAGACTGCAGTAACAAAATGTGACCAAAGGATGTCATTGTTACAAATTGCACCTTTAAGGTATCACTGGGGAACATGGAAATCAGTGCACATGCTTATTTTCCCATGAAGTGTGTTTGATACGGAACCGTGTCCTCCACAGGGACCAGGCCCGGTACAACTACACTCACGAGATTCTCAAAGATGAAGATTCCTTCTTCAATGGGAGAAGAGTTCCTCGTCAGCGGCGGATCTCTGTCATCTGTCGAAACCTTCCAGTGTAACGCCCACTCCGCCTCAGTTTGGCTGAGAACAGGTTACTAACTCAACTGAGGACTGTTTTGATGATCTGCTTTGACTTCTCAACGCTGCAGGGACACACGATCATATAGCATGAGCTGCTGATGAAGTTTTAAGTGCTAGAATTTGCACGTCAATTATAATAAAAATTAAATTTTCAGTTGTGTGTTTATGCATTGACATCACTTTGGTATGCTTCTCTACTTCTGTATAATACTGCACTGGTGATTAAAGGGAAACTTACCCCCAAATTCCACTACCTCCGCTCCGGTCCGCCCCCGCCTTCCGCAGCCGCTCGCTTCCGAACTCAATTTTTACTGGTACGCGCTCTACAACGGCTCCGCTCTGGTGCGGAGACCTGAGGTGGGCAAACAAGCATGCGCGGGATTTTCGAGATCTTGCGATACAGTCCGAGCAATAAACGCGGAAGTTAGATCCAAACACCTGTTGTGTGGGAGAAGCATCGGCATGAACTGTTTAATCTGCCCATCATTTGTGGTGAGAGATCAGCAGTGTTTGGATCAGGTTTGGATCAACACAGTGTGACTACTTTGATAGTGGAAACTGTATTTATGGCTTACTTTTGTGCATTTAAAGTTCAGCCGCCATTGATAGTTGTTAAAAGTTGTTAAACCTGTGCATATGAAACAAAAAACGCCTTTTGTTTATCGATTTATTGTGAAAAACGGAAGTTGTGCTTGCTCCTTTTCCTGTTGGGCGGTTGTGATTCCTGTCCATTGACTGCGGAGGTGCTCCGGCGTCCGGCGAAAATAGGATCGATTCTATTTTTGCCGGATGCCGGAACAGAGGGCGGCGCACGGCGCCGCACTGCCGGAGCACGGCCGCAGTAGTGGAATAACTGATTGTCTACAACGGGACCGATTTTGCTCCGGCGTTCGTGTCGGAGCGGAGCGGAGGTAGTGGAATTTGGGGGTTAGGGCCAGGGGTCTCATTTATCAAGCTTGCTTACGCACAAAACAGGGTTGGAAAACTGCGTAAGCAACTTTCCACACAAACTTTGGGATTTATAAAAGAAAACTTCAATATCAAATTGCATCGAGTCACTGACTAGTGTCAGTGACTTTACAGCAATCCTCATACTAAGCAAGCATTTCGTGACAGTGGAGAGGAAAACTCCCTTTAAACAGGAAGAAACCTCCAGAGGATCCTGGCTCGGTATAAGCAGCCATCCTCCACAACTCACTGGGGATCGAGAAGACAGAGCAGACACACACACACACACCAAGTAATGTGTCTATAGTTATATTGTGATTTCTTAGTAAATATTCTATTTGGCGAGAGATAACCTTTATTGTATTTATCCTAGTGAATCTATAATTAAACGGATAAACTAGCAGTAGCACATCCAACGTCAAGGAAAGCAAAAAGTTATTATCAGGAGAGGGAGAATGTTTAAGTGGTTAGCAGCAGTGTGCTAGACGATGGCCTCCTCCATGAGGCCACCACAGCTCAGCAGAACATCGTTGTAGCTTCTTCTGGGGTGAAAAACACTTAGAGAATAAATAAAGTTAACAGCTGAAATAGCAGAAAATAATACAGTTAAAGAGCAGATTGTAGAATAAAGCAGTAGAGTGTGAAAAGTGGTCAGTGTGTCCTCCAGCAGTCTAAGCCTATAGCAGCATAACTACAGAGATAACTCTGGATAACCTAGCCTTATTAGTTGGAGGCATGTTGGAGGCAGGGCAAGGAGCCGTCTTTACCGACTGTACACTCCACCTCCCTCTACTCCCCTGCTTGTCCACATAGGCTAACATAAGATTTTAACCATAGGCCCTATCAAATAAAAATGTTTTAAGTCTAGTCTTAAAAGTAGACAAGGTGTCTGCCTCACGGACTAAAGCTGGCAGCTGGTTCCACAGGAGAGGAGCCTGATAACTAAAATGAATGATAAGTGAGACCCCAGATTGGGTTAAAGTTTACTTCTCTTAAAAACAAAAAATCAACGTGGGTTATTTTTTTACCACCTCAAAATGCAATAAAATATTGTTACAAACTTCATATTTTATGTTGTTACAACCCAGGCATCTAGGGGTAACTTGGAGGGCATGTGAAAGGGTTTTATTTTCTTTTTTTGTTTTTCTTATGCCAAAGGCCAAAAATGAACACAGCACGGGTCTTTGCTTCAGTGACAGCAGAAATGAACCAAAAAGAGCTCAGACTCTCAAAATGTGACACAGCAAATACCATCTTAACTTATTATCTCTACTCGGTATCAAAGTCTCAAGTCCAAGTTGGGTGACAACAGGTCAGAGGAAAGGCAGCTCTGAACTGTTACTCCAGAAGGTCTTTTATGCTTGAAGCCTTTAAAGTCTCTTTCCGGAGCATTTCTCTTATCCGATGGCACCATCTAGTGGCTGACAAGCATATCACACACAAAGTCTGTCGCTCTGTTTTTTTAAGATGACGACGTCACGTTTCTTGTTGATAAATGTGCTTCTGTGGCCGACAAGCAGAGCTAAAACTAGGGATGCACCGATCAGGTTTTTTGCTGCCGATCACCGATACCGATATCAAAGAATGCTGATCACCGATACCGATATCAAAGAATGCTGATCACCGATACCGATATCAAAGAATGCTGATCACCGATACCGATCACGTGGATTGGCCAGAAATTTTCTACAACATTATAATGAGTGCTACAAACTACATAATCTGGGAATAAAGGAAATGTAACCTAATCTAAAATGGTCTGTATTAGGGTTGTCACGGTGTGAAAATTTAACCTCACGGTTATTGTGACCAAAATTACCACAGTTTTCGGTATTATCGCGGTATTTCTTTTAAACGTGCTACATTTTCACACAATTAAATAAACCCTGTATGTCAGGAAAATATTGTCCTCAGTTTGTGTCTGAATTTTGCCTAAAATGTGTTATTTTGTAATTATGTTGTTTATTTGTTTACATTTTTTCCCTTTAGTCATTAAAATACCAATATTTGCCCATAACTTCTTATTTTATGTCTGTTTGATGTCATTATTTAAAAATATTAGATCAGATGATACTCAGTACTCAAGTAGCCTTCTAATCAGATACTTTTTTACCCTTACTTGAGTAATAAACCCTATATCAGGAAAATATTGTCCTCGGTTTGTGTTCTTCCAGTGAGCTTTGCAGATGTGGGAAAATGTCATCAGGCAGTAATCATTGTTAAATTCATAATTATTCTCAGAGAGAGACCAACTCTTATCTGCCCCTGGGAGCCCGTAATGCATAGCGTCATTTCAACATGGGGGTGTCCGTGACACGGTTTATATGCAGGTAGCGGCGCTGCGGCTGCTTTATATAGCGACTCGTTGCATTCTCCCTCAACCCAAATCCTCGGATCACGCATTTTAGCTAAAACACTAACGTTAGCTTTGACTGTAGAGTTGTGGGTGATGGTCACGCAGATGTGTCATGAGATATGAAGCGTTGCTGCCTTTCACAGACACTTTTTCTGCTCGTGCTGCAAACAGGATAGCCGTCCGTCTTCTATAAACTCCCTCGGCATTCTTCAAATACTTCGTCTTCTTTGAGGGATAATAAATGTCCTCCTGAGCACTGCCGTCTCCTCCTTTGACCATTATTTCAGCTTTAGCTTCAAGAAAGTTTTATTGTAAACAAAGCGTGCATGTGCCGCCGTCAACTTCAGCCGATGATACGGTGGCTGGTAAGGGTCACCGCGCCTACAGCGCAGCCACGGTAAACCCACCAAGATAATATAGTTTTTTTTAAAACAAGACGGTTATTATTGTCAACTTTTTTTTTTACCGGGGTTTACCGATACACTGGTTACCGTGACAACCCTACCTGATCGGTTTGCTTTGATCTATTTTGAAAACCGATAGGGGCGCTATCGGCCGATTACGATCAAATGCCGATCCATCGGTGCATCCCTAGCTAAAACACGTTATTTTACAAGTTTTATTCTCATGTCATGCCGTTTTCATATATTTACATTTTAGAGACTTACTTGTTGATGAAAAGTTCATCAACTCTGCATCAGCCGAGGTATTCCTTAAATTTGAAGCATCTAAGCGATAGTCTAACGCTATTGGTTAGTTCTGGTCAGTGCTCAGTTTCCTATTGCACAGAGCTCTGCGGGGCAGGAGGCGTGCTTAGCAAAAAAATAAAACATAAATAAAGATGTATTGCTTACATTTTATCACAGCACATGATAAGATAATCACATTTACAGATTTCTGAAAGTAGAAAACTCCGGAAAGCTACTTGAATCAGCCACTGATTCGGATTCCCCTCAGCTGGGCGCTTCAGGGCGGAGCCAGGAGGAGAGTGGTGCTGCAGAGTTGCTCCTCTTTGCACAAGAGAGGATGAAAACAGAAGAAAGGAAACACACAGAAGAAACAAACTGCTCCGGCCGTAACATATGTAATTGTGCCGAGTGTGTTAGAGCTGATGAGTCACCAAAACAAAATCCAACGATGATAAAAAGCACTGATGCACAGCTCGTCTACATAAATATAAATGAGCTCTAAGAGAATACCTGCTTTTATAAAGAAAGCCAGATGAGTTATGCTGGTTTGTTGCCAAATGTAAAAATAAAAAAACTTATAAAAACTGTTTTTTCAATGCTCATTTATTTTCATTTTACTTGAATTCAGCAATCCAGTGTTACCCTTTCAGGAATGATGGATGGCTCTTTAGAAACACATAAAAGTGATCGTCTTACCCGGTTGTATGATAATGTAGGTCATGTGTCAATTTTTAAGAGTCTGTAGAGCCTTGTGCGATTTGAAATGATGACTGCTCATTAGTCAATAGCATTAGGCATCCTCTTATATACAGATGTCACATCTGTACTTAACCTGCATCACTGAGCGTTTGCAGACTGATGCAGAGTTGGTAACATTTCTTGTGGGTGAGTATTTAAAATATAAAAATATGAATAAACAGCTTTACAGGAGAATAATCTTAGAAAAATGTGTTTTAGCTGTTGGTTGGCTAGAGGTGCGTGTTCACGAACATGGCGTGGGAGAGGGGCTTAAGATGCGATACATTTTTCCACCTCTAGATGGTGCTCTCTGAGAATTTCTGCTTTAATGTGCAGAGATGCTGAATGTGACAGAAGAGCAAGAGGAAATCACTTTTCAGGGTTTCAATTTTATTATAAAAGTTCCAACTCAAGAAAAACAAGCTAAAGATGTTTCCTTTCATTTTGAAAGAAGCTCTAAGATTTTTATTTCGACTCTTAAACTGTCACTCAGCAAAAGTTCAGACTAAACAAACTCAACATGTTGAACAGAATACGTTCAGAGCCGCTGGCGTTTCTGCACAGCTCAAGTCCTGCTGCATCAAACTTCCCTCCAGACCCCACCCCTCCTCTGCTGCACCACCCACCTGCTCACTCTGTAAGGTAGAAATGCATTTTGTCGTTGACATTTTTGCGCTCTGGATTGAGGCGCTTCAAAATCTGAGCCAGCACGTTGACCGTCTGCTCACTGCTCAGACCCGTCCGTTTAGTCTGGAACTTCTTCAGCAGGTCCTTCGTGGTCATCGGTTTACGGATCAGGTAGCGGCGGACCGCGTCCTCCGTTAGCTGGACGTCACTGTAGCGGGGGATAAATAAATAAAGTCAGGGTTTTTTAGCAGTTTGCAGAGTTTTAGATTTTGATTTAAGCCTAATAAACGGATTTATTTCTTTCTGTTTTCTGATGGTACTTACCTTGAGCTGGGGGTGGATTTGCCTGATGGGGGCTGGGGTGTGCTCTTCCCAGAGGGAACAGGACTCTGAGTGCTGGGCTCCATCTTTAGCCTTTTAGCAGCTGGGGAGTCTGCAGCAGCTCCCTGCCTCTTCCCTACAGGAGAGAGAGAGATTTAATTAAACACAAATCCTCCCTTAAGGATCAAAGAAAATAAATTATTCTCATCGTTGACATGGTATTTGTGACCGATTTCCGTATTTGTGCTAATCTACAGGCACACACACCTTGCTCCAGCTTGCTAGCAGCAGCCCGCAGAGTGTTGGAGGTGGAGGCGGAGTCGATTGATGGAGTGCCAGGACGACTTCCTGTCCTAGAGCTTCCTGCAGAGCCACGACCGCCTGCACGCTTAGGAGGAGTTCGCTTCTTCTGCAAAGAGCAATTTAAAAATAATAAAAATGAAAGCAAATATGCAGCAAAAAAATAAATAGTCACAACTTCATTTAGACTCAAACACTCGAATTAAGTAGTAGGGGGTGGGAATCTATCAGCTCCTCGTGGTTCCATTATGACCCAGATTTATGTCCCGTCTTACACCGGTTTCACACTGAAAGCATCAGAGGCGCGGAACGTCACTGCTTCAAATAAAATCTTTTGTCTATGGAGTGTTTGAAACCAGCCACGATGCGACAATTTTCAGGAGCGTCCCAGAAGCGGCACGCTGCGCCGCTAAAGATTGGTTTCTATTTTTGCCACGAGCCGCTTCTGGGATGCGTCAATTCCCGCAGTGAACATAAGGCTAGACAGGAAATCACACACGGTTTCAGTGTAAAATCCCCGGTAATTTTCAAAATAAAAGTACTGAAACGATGCAATGTCATATATATGAAGCTTACGTGTGACCCAACGTCTTATTTACTCCCAGTATCGTTCCAGAAGTGCAGTGATGTGTTTTCATGGCTTTAATCCTGACTATGGAGAGAAAAACATCATATATGACATCAAACAGCGATATCAAATGTGATTTTTTTCTTTTTGGTTTAATGGCAGATTGCATAAACAAACCGTGATCTTTGAAATCTCGAGAGATTTTGTGATCTCGCGAGTCCAGCGAGGAGCACAGGAAGGAAGACGTACCATGGCCAAGACTCTCCCCGTGTGAAGAGGACCGCATTGAAGTTTGCAAGTAAACCGTTTCGTGCTGCTGATGCTTCTAGTGTTAAACTGGGGTTATATGTTCCTACCCGCTCTTATTATTACAATTAACATCATTTTTTACATTTTAAAATGCAGTCAGAATCTTTGTCTCGATCGTGATGCATAAAAAACAGGTTAAATTTCCCACCCCTAGGTCATAATGTGTCAATGAATGACTAACTGAGCTGTAATTTAAAGCAGAACTCTTTCCCACACACACACGCACACACACACACACACACACACACACACACACACACACACACACACACACACACACACACACCATGAACAGAGCAGAGGCCGTCTCTCCCTCGATGTCGCTGTCATCGGAGCTGTCTGATTCGCCGCTGCTGTCTGTCACGAACAAAAAGAAATAATTGACCCCGGAACTCAGCCATCTTTAAAATCTAAACCCAAAAGAAATTGTAATTTGCTACAGCTCCTGTAAGTTTCTCCTGAGTCAGAACCTTGCACAGCACCTGCAAGCTGCCACTCTCCTCTCCAGCTCAGTTCCAGTCTCCAATTTCAGCACCAGGGAGAGCGACACGCTGCTGCAGGAATCTGCATCTAGACAGCTCAAGCCTTTAAAAGGGGGCACAGATCTGCTCCGTCATCCCCTTGTTGTGGCTTGTCTGTTATTAGAATAACTCGTAGTATAGAGATCGCTTAGTTAATTGATGTCTTTAAGACAACAGTTTCTTTAGATTTAGTTCCCCTTCAGTGTTTAACCCAGTTTTCCACCAGTTCTGCTGTGCGTTTATCCAGCATGTGTGTTTAGTTAATGAGTTGAGATAGTTTTCTCCCAGTGGGTTAAATGTCACAATTAATATTGGATACAGGAGACTTGCTTTGTCTGTTATACTGGAGTGCCTCTTCTACTTTGAGTGAACCTTTGTTATAATAAACATCAAATTGTTGCTAAGACCTTGGTGCATTCCTTTTATTTTTAAATTTTCTGAGTTACTCCTTTCAGACAGGAGGGGTCGTAACATCAGTCGTGAAGTTCATACCTTTCTTCTTCTTCTTTTCCACCTGAACAGGGGTTTTCTTCCCTTCCTCCTCCTCTTCCTCCTCCTTTGCTTCTTCTTCATTCTTCTTCTCCTCTTCACTCTCTTCCTCGCTCTCTGATTCCTCATCGATTCCTGCAAACAGACAAATTACTTCAATGAGAAACAAACAAAACTCCTGCAGGAGAATACCAGTATCGTCTCACACCAACCTTTAGGATGCTCTTCCTCTCTGGTGGGTTTCTCGTTAACTTGGTCTTCATCTGGGCTGTTGGGAAAGAAAATAACACATGAACACACAACCATTTCTAAAAGACACACACACACACACAAGCCTTGTTATCAAAATCAGTGCATCTCTAATGACACTGTGTCATAAATGATAGTTGTACCAGAAAATAGTGGAAGTTTGAGACTTTTCTCTACTTAAAGTGCATAAAGTAGCAACAGCATTCTGTGGTCACATGCGGGAACAGCATGTTTCATAACAAACATGTCCGCTCTGAACAGCTGTTGTCAGCCACGGATCAGCACCAGAAGATTCTAGATGAGGAGTTAAGACGAGTCGAATGCAGTAAGTTGATAAGTAGGTAAATACATTTAACTGTAATATCAAGTAGGTCAATTTCATCGTTAGCATTGTTAGCTCAACGTTAGCGTCTAGCCTTTTTTTCCCCCAATATTAGAGTAAAGCAAAAAGATGCTGTGGCTTCTTAAGGGTACAAGAAATAACTTCTGGGTTGCTCCTGTTAACTGGCTTTGGTTCTCAACACAACTTTGGAGCTTTTTGTCTGCTAGTGTCAAATTACAAATGCTGGTGTAGCATCGTTGGCAGATTTGCAACTCTACAGGTTCACATATGATTGGCTCTGCAACCAGGAAGTATGACGGCGGGACAGATTGTAAACGATGACTATGTCCCTCTTCACATCTGACATGTTTCAGTGCAGCTTTCCTTCAGACAGGATTGAGACATTAGCCTGTTTTGTGATTATTTCACTGTAATATTCCAACATGTTGTACCTTTAAAACACCTGACTAGAATCAGACCTCTGTAGGACATGATAAGTAATAAATCCAAACACTAAATCTGATAAGCTGGAGCAGAGAAACATCTAAAACATGCAGGATAGTACTAGGACATGAGTACATAGCTAACATGCTAGCATGAACTAAAGCTAATAAGGGAATGGGGTAAACGGGGAGGGGGTGGTAGGGTAATAAGATCTCACCTGCTTTCATCTGACATATAATCCACTTCCAGACCCTCGTAATCGCCATCATCACTGTCTTCAAGGGCGTCTTTTTCACCACCCTTTTGCTTCTTCTTTGTTTTCGATTTCCCCGCGGCCTTCTTCGTTTTTGCTTTGCTCGCACCGTCTGACACGTTTAAAAAAATGTTTCAAGTTTAGAAAAGTAAAGATGTGAAAATCATAATTACACCACATCCTGTTTTCTTCTCTGTACCTTCTCCTACGCTGCTGTCACTGTCATCACTGCTCATCTCCAGGTCGTCTTCCAGATCGTGAATGAGCAGGTCGCCGCCTCTCCCACCGCCCTTCTTTTTCTTCTTCCCAGATTTTCCTGACTCATCTTCTTCATCGTCGCCACGATCCTGCTCCCGAAGACGTCTCTGAAGCATGATGCTGAAGTGATTTACCACCTTGTTCCGCCTGCAGCAGCAGAGCATGCAACTTTAAGAGCTGCTGATGAATTATTAGTTTGTTCCTTCCTTTTTGTTTTCCTCACCTGCCCCACTCTTCCTCAGCCTCTTCAGCAGTCAACGTCCGATGTTTTGCCTGTGGTGTAAAGTTGTACCACCCATGAACAGGAAAGGCTTCAAACGCCCCATCAGGACACTGTGTGAAAATGTAGTAGGAAGCATTTTCTGTGACGCCACCCTTCTTTACCCCTTTGAACCTGTGTACACAGAAAAACAAAGAAAATAGTTTAGTCTGCTAGCCAACAGTAAAAATATTTTTTTTTAGAAATTAAAGTATATATTTAAGACAAAAATAATTACCTTTTCGTTGACAAAAATGTAAGTAATAATATTTGTAGCATATTATAAAAAAGGGAAAAAGTGGATGGAATGACATGAACTCAAACTTGGAGGCAATTTTTAGGATTATAAAATAAAACAAACCAATTAATTTCTGTCTAAAATTCACACTTCATTTCTGAAACTTGTGATTTACTGACATTTTCACTAAAACATCCCCCTTTTCTCACCTTTTGCCAGCTTTGCCATTGACCTTCAGGATCCAAGGCTGGTCCTCAGCTTTGAACTCACGGGTCACAATACCAAACTTCTTCCGTCGTGCTTCCTCACGCTGTTTTTTGCCAAACTCACTGCCCGCACCACTTTCAGGCGTCTCCTCCTCCCCGTATATCCGCCGAGCGCTCATGTCTCTCTCCATACGAGCCTGAAAAGTTAAGGTGAAAATAGAAAATAAGCAATTCCAACATTATGATTGTAAATATCTCTCCAATTTTTAGAAAATAAATGTTTTCATACAAAAGCTTGAAACCCACCTGTGTCCAGGCAGAACAATTTACTTTGTCTCCTGCATTGAAAGCCATTATGTTGTACTTCTTGCTGGTGTTTCTATGGAACAAACAAAAAGATCATTACATTAATTTGCTTTTCTCCACTCTGGGCCTCTTTAGATAAAGGATAACAATCCCATCTGTATCCACACACCGATCATCATGTGGTTTAATACATGTGTTACTTACTTGGGGACTCTCACAGTGTACTCTGTGGTTGAAGAACTGCTGCTCCCCTGTAAATAAACAACGATTTGTCTCTGCAAATTTCAATTTCTACCACTGTAATCCAGAGATTAACACGTGAGCACAAATGTTTATTTGTTTATTCAACAAAAATGAGTCAGATTACCAGAATAATGCATTCTAGCATTCTAAATATAAAAAAAGGTTCTAATTAGGAATGACTTACCAGTGACGTCATGGCCGTCTATTTGACACGCTGAAAACGCCCAAATAGAATGAAAACACAAAAGGTTACATGAAACAATTGTGCTAAATTCAGCGGCCAACGGTAAATCTCAAGCAGTAGTCTGACAGGTGAAAATCTGGCTCAATACAAACTTTCTTAAAGGCTCAGATATTTTGCAGAAGGCGATCATGATTTAAGGTGAATGTTGCTAACAGACATCATCTTTGTAAATACCAAACTTTACAGAGAAAAACACTAATTTTTTTCTGACAAACACTTTTCTGGGGTGAAAAAGGTCACCAGAGAGGTTAATTTGAAAATACAAAAAGGCATTGCAACATTTGACAACGTTTGCTCGAGTAATGTTAGCTTCTGTTGCTAAAACAAATGGTATCAAAAAAACGTCATCAAACCGAAACAACAAACAGGCCTAATACTAACATAACTCAACCACCTATGCGCTAAACAGTAATATTTACTCAGACACCTTGTTTAAAACACCAAAAGCAACACGTTAGTAAGTAAGTAAAGAAACGAACTGAATATTTACCAGAATGCTATTTGTTCCGCCAGTCGATGAGTCCGGTAGGAAACATTTACCATCAAGAGAGTTCCTAGCCGTTCACTACGGTAGCCGTGAGGTCTAACGTTTTCTGTCTATGACGTAACCACGTAAAAATAAATAAACAAATGCGCGTGTACACCATAGACTGTACATACACACACACCAGGATAAATATCATTACGTATTTTCACACATGCATCCACTACATTTGAGCGACAAATAATGATAAACAAAGCAAAAGTCTGCCTTCAACCCTTCTCAAGATTCTCATATTGCAGATATCAGATGTATACTTTTGTGAATGACCGTTCACAACAACCTTGTGCAGTTTTAGTTGATTATTACAAAATAATTGGGGCATAAATTACATGTCTGTTGTGTAAGCGTTTGTTTAAGAATTTTTATTAACATCAACAGAGCTGGCCGGGTACTGTGGAAAGTCATTTCAACATTTAATCAGCAATCAAACCTTTCATTATGTGAAATCAATTCTAGGCTCTACAAGGTGTATCTGTGTGTGTGTGTGAAACCAAGCTAAAGGCCTGTTACCTCCTCTTCTCATGTTGTGTGTGTGTGTGTGTGTGTGTGTGTGTGTGTGTGTGTGTGTGTGTGTGTGTGTGTGTGTGTGTGTGTGTGTGTGTCCTGGCTGGAGACTCCTAATCAGTGCTGTCGTAAATTAATGGTGTGCCTTCACTCTGCTGATATGGTTAAAAGAATCATGTTGTGGATATAACCTTTCTTGACCTGAAAAGATGTTGGGAGGAGTTACAAGTGGACCGGACAGAGTGCTTCATGAAGCGGGAAGAGTTACCATGGAGACGAACAGGAGACAAGAAGGAGGGGGAAGTGGAGAGATAAAAAGGGGGGCCCGAGAGTTCTAAGGCTGGGAGTTCGGTTGAGCTCTGTGTTTTTTACCCGCTGCGTCGGGGTGATTCTGTCTGGATCAATCTTTTTTCATCCTTTTTGAATAAAAACCTTGGTTTCTTATTGTGAGAAACTAAAAGGACAACTGTGCCTCGGGGCCTTCGTTGGTGTCGGGTAACCGGACCAGAAGTCGATGGTGATCAACACCCTGTCTTGTCCTGTGGTCGACGCCTCTTCATGTTCTGAAGTCGACGCCTCCTCGTGTTCTGAAGTCGACGCCTCCTCATGTTCTGAAGTCAACGCCTCCTCGTGTTCTGAAGTCGACGCCTCCTCTTGTTCTGAGGTCGACGCCTCTTCCTGTCCAAGGGTCGATGCCTCTTCCTGTCCAAGGGTCGACGCCTCCTCTGAAGTCGACGCCTCATCTGAAGTCGACTCCTCATCTGAAGTCGACACCTCATCTGAAATCGACGCCTCATCCGAAGTCGACGCCTCATCCGAAGTCGACGCCTCATCCGAAGTCGAGGCCTCATCCGAAGTCGACGCCTCATCCGAAATCGACGCCTCATCCGAAGTCGACGCCTCATCTGAAGTCGACGCCTCATCCGAAGTCGACGTCTCATCTGAAGTCGACACCTCATTTGAAGTCGACGCTCTCTCCACTCCAGAGGTCGACACTCTCTCCACTCCAGAGGTCGACGCTCTCTCCACTCCAGAGGTCGACGCTCTCTCCACTCCAGAGGTCGACGCTCCCTCTGGTCCGACGTCTCCGTCGTCTCCAGTCCCGTGGTCGACGCTGTCTCCAGTTCCAGTGGTGGTTCCAGAGGTCGCACCGTATCCGGTCCAGCCCTTCCACGAGGCTCCAATCCAGTCCGTCCTAGAGACTTTGTCCCGGTCCAGCCTGCAGAGACTTTGTCCCCGGCCCAGCCTTCAGAGACTTTGTCCCCGGCCCAGCCTGCAGAGACTATGTCCCCGGCCCAACCTGCAGAGACTTTGTCCCCGGTCCAGCCTGCAGAGACTTTGTCCCCGGCCCAGCCTGCAGAGACTATGTCCCCGGCCCAGCCTGCAGAGACTTTGTCCCCGGTCCAGCCTGCAGAGACTTCGCCCCCGGCCCAGCCTGCAGAGACTATGTCCCTGGCCCAGCCTGCTGAGACTTTGCCACTGGCCCAGCCTGCAGAGACTTTGTCCCCGGCCAAGCCTGCAGAGACTTCATCTCCGGCCCAGCCTGTAGAGCTACTCTACCATAAACGCAGGCCCCCAAGAGCCCGTCGTCGCTGCCTCCTCTGCCACAGACGCAGGCCCCCAAGAGCCCGTCGTCGCCGCCTCCTCTGCCACAGACGCAGGCCCCCAAGAGCCCGTCGTCGCCGCCTCCTCTGCCACAGACGCAGGCCCCCAAGAGCCCGTCATCGCCGCCTCCTCTGCCACAGACGCAGGCCTCCAAGGGCCCGTCGCCTCCTCCTCTGCCGCAGACGCGGGCCTCCAGGGGCCCGTCGCCTCCTCCTCTGCTGCAGACGCGGGCCTCCAAGGGCCCGTCGCCTCCTCCTCTGCCCCAGGCGCAGGCCTCCAAGAGCCCGTCGTCTCCTCCTCCTCTGCCCCAGGCGCAGGCCTCCAAGAGCCCGTCGTCTCCTCCTCCTCTGCCCCAGGCGCAGGCCCCCGGACTCTGCTGGTCCCTGCCTCCTCTCCGTTGGTCCCTCGGTTCCTCTTGGCCCTCCCTCCGGGTCCCCCTCCTCCCACCCTGCTCCTTGTTCCTGTAGGCATCTGGGATCCACCCTTTTTTTTGGGGGGGGGGGGGGGGGGGGTACTGTCACACCCTGTCCTGTCTCCCCGTTTTGGTTCAGCCTTTTGTCTCGTTAATTGCTCCCACCTGCCTCTCATTTCCCAATCACCTTAGCTCCCTGCCCTCGTGTATTTAAGCCCCTTCTGTCCTGTGTCTTGGGTCGGTCCATTGTTTCATTGTCCAGCGTGTGTAATAAACCAATGTTAAGAGTTTGTACCTGTCTGCCTGTCTTCCTCCCCGCGTGTGGATCCTCGCCTCACCTCCGCTCACCTCGCCCACACGCCGTGACATTAAAAACCTTGGTGTGTTTTTAGACGGTTCTTTTAATCTCCACAGACAGGTGAGTGCAGTGGTCCAATCAGGTTTTTATCATTTAAGGCAGATAGCAAAGGTGAAGCCATACCTTCCTGCTAATGTCCTCGAACATGTCATCCACCTGTTCGTGTCTTGCCGATTGGACTACTGCAACTCCCTGTATTCTGGCCTGGACCAGTCCTCCCCACACCGACTTCAGCTGGTCCAAAATGCAGCGGCTCGCTTGCTGACTGGAACCAGCAAGTGGTATAACATAACCCCGGTTCTGGCCTCTCTCCATTGGCTTCCTGTCTCTTACAGGATCCATTTTAAAATGTTACTTTTGGTCTTTAAATCCCTTCATGGCCTGGCCCCAGTTTACATCTCTGAGCTGCTGTCCACTTAAGTCCCTGCCAGAACCATGAGGTCCAGCTCTCAAGATCTTTTAACAGTTCCAAAAAACCTGCCTTAAGACTCGCGGCGACAGAGCGTTCTCTGTGGTTGGGCCCAATCTGTGGAACAAGCTACCTCTCAACATCAGGACCACACAGAATCTAGAGCATTTTAAATCCTTTCTTAAGACGCAATTTTTTGATTTGGCTTTTAATGCAGGTTGACTTGAGCATCTTAATAGTTTTTAACAGTTTTTATTATAGATTGTGACTGTTGTGGTCTCATCTTATTTTAGGTTTTTATTGTTGATTTGTTGTATCTTGATTTGTTTTACCTTGTACAGCGCTTTGGTGTAGCTTTGCTGCTGTAAATGTGCTCTGTAAGTAAAATTGACCTTGACCAAAGCTGCATTATTGGTACTGGAAAGGTGAAACCTAAGACCCTCCCCTATTTAAAGTGGGGTTTTCACGTTTTTACATAGATAGCTTCTTTTACTCCTCTCTCAAATCATCTATCTTCTCTGTCCAGAATGTGGACTTTGTCATCTTCAAAGGTGTGTCCCTTGTCCTTCAGGTGAAGGTGGACTGCAGAGTTCTGACCTGAAGAGGTGGCTCTCCTGTGTTGTGTTATGTTCTTGTGTAATTGTTGTTTAGTTTCTCTAATGTAAACATCTGGACAGTGCTCCTACACTGGACTGCATAAACGACACCACTGAGCTTCTGTTTGGGTGTTTTGTCTTCTGGGTGGACCAGGTTCTGTCTGAGGGTGTTGTTGGGTTTAAAGTTTACCGGGATGTTGTGTTTGGAGAAGATTCTTCTAAGTTTCTCTGAGACTCCTGCCACGTATGTGGTGATGGTGCCTTTGTGTAAAGGGTGTTGTTGTTAGGTTGGTAGCAGAGCTCTCATGTTTAGGGTTAAGTTCAGTGAGATCATGGAATGGGATCAAGAATTTTCTACTGACAGGAAAAAGATCTCAGCTAACATAGCTGTAGATCACACTGGATAAGTCTCTGTGGTTGCATTTGTTTTACATTTATTTTACTACCTCTTACTAAAGCTGTCTTTAGTAAGCACAAAATATCTTTGATTGTACACCTGTTCAATAGCAATAAAGTATCTTGATTTCTGTTAAATGTACTTCCTGAATGAGTGACCTTTTCAGGCTAAAATAACAAAATGACAAATACAGACAGAAGGACGACTTCTTTCTTCTTTAATAACTCATTGCATCACCACCTGGTATCAGAACAGGACTCAGTATTGGAAGATAATCAAAAAACAAACAACTTGGACTCAGATCAGGGGCAAAAATGTGGTTGTAACATCTCTAGGTATAAGTCAGCTTTAAAAACTAAAACTATTATTTATGAACTAACATTAACACTAATGACACAAATTGATATATTTTTATTATGTTGTTTGAACCCAAGGGTCTCATTATCTGAATTTTCTAACTTATTGGATTGCTCTATAAGTGCCCCTTTTTTACTTTGAGCACCCGCCCCGTCAAAGGTCTCTGCACGGCCCTGATGAGCGCTAAACGTTATTTTGCCGCTTCCGTGCGTAGCGGTAGGGAAACATTTCAAACACGGAACCGAGTCTGGCTACCGAACCGAGCAGAATTCTGATGACGTCACACCGGTGCGCGAAGGTGCGGGTTCCATCCCAACCCACAGGAGAGTAGGGAGAGAGGAGGTAAACAGCGAGTGGATCACAGGGACTGAACTGATGTTTTTGATCCAAACTGCGGTAA